TATTTCCCTTGGGCTACGCCCCATGGCTTGTTTTTATTAGCTCGCTTTCCTACAAATTTTGATATAAATTCTAAACGAAGTTCCCGATGAGCTAGATACATGAAATTTGAAGTAGGCCTATAGCTCACAAATGGATGACAATACAATGTTATATCATTCAATTTTCATATTTCCCTTGGGCTACACCCCATGGGCATCGATATTTTCCTTTTTTACATTAAAAAAAAATGTAAATACCTATATCAATTAATTTAAGTCAGCTGTAAATACTTAAATTTGACAGTTCGAAGAGCAGAGGTTAAGAGGTACAGGTTATGCTCCCAAGAGATTCTTTATACAAACAAACATTTCAAAATAAATATAAACCATCTAATTGTAGATATAAATGTGTTTGTTAATAATGTCAATTTTTATTATTTTAGTATTCTATAAAGTAAACAATACATTAAATAGATTGATATATTTATAGTTAGTAGGTAGACCATACATTCAATCTAATACATAATTATATGAAAAGAAACTCAAATAAACCTTAGATTTCCCACATGCCTCTGTCTTAATCTGATATAGATGCTTGAAATAGTTTTAACATCCATACACATTAAAAACTAAAAAGTAGAAAATAATTTATAAATATGTGGAGATTATAAATACTTGTAAGATTTAAAACGAAAAACGTGGGGTGCATGCAATTGATAGTAATACATTAGTTCAATAGGTGAATGTTATTGTAAATTATCTATTACATGCACCCCACGTTTTTAGTTTTAAATCTTACAAGTATTTATAATCTCCACATATTTATAAATCATTTTCTACTTTTTAGTGCGTTTAAAAACGTTTAGTTTTAAAAAACCTTTTTTTTATAATTTTTTTTAAATATTCCGGAAGTCGCATGTTGTACAGTTTTGGGTATTTCTCAACGAGAAAAATCAACTTACTAATATCTATGTTTACAACATATGAAAACACTGCTACTTTGACAGATCTGTTGAGAATGGCGGATGTCCCGTGCCGCCCGCCCGGTCGGTGTGCAGTGCTCCCGGTCGGTACGGGCGTCACGGCAGCTCGGAAATGTCCTGGAGGTCTGTCTCCTGGACTTTTTAACAAACGGCGGAAGCTGCCGAACGTCCGTTGCCGGCCGTACCGCCGTAGTGGGCGCACTCATATGACATTCAATGTTATTAACTTTTAAAAATTGCCGTGCCGCCCGCCCGTCCGTGCCGTGCCGCCGTAGGGCGCGCGCAGCTTTAAATGACTGAAATAACAAGAAACAAATTGATAACAAAACATAACCTCTACAGTTGGACGTACAGAACTAACAATAAATTTGGCTTATTGGCTTTAGCTGTTTCATAAGGATGACAAATCTACATAAACTTAACTGAAACAAAATAATTTGTTCTATACGAACAGGCAGACAAGACAATTTTGCACACAGCAAGTTGTAGGACCCTGTGGCGGTGCTTAGGCCGGCCGCACACTGATCAGACAAAATGTCTTTTGAGAAAACGTTTTGTCGAAAGACGTTGGAATTGACTGACCAACCATGCAGTTAAATGGATGCATCACACACTGATGAGACAGAGGCTTTAACACTTTTTTCTGAAGACGTCTTTGGGTGTTTTTGTGATCCCCTCTAATAACTTATTTCGTATTTTGCAACAACGCGGTCAGACAAACAGTTGTACGCATGCGCGAGGATGAGGTAGGGCGGATACCGCATTTTATACGCACACACACTCACTCACAGTTGCATATTAGGCCTTTCCTTAGTAGTTCCTCGTGGAGTTATATAACGATGATGTCTAAAAACATTTCTGAATTGGGTGTGAGGGTTATTGGCGTTTGTGTTTGGGTTAGTAATTATAAAATATTCTGGCAGCATCATCTCGTACTGTAATCTAGCTGTCGTCAACGCTTTTGTGAAAACTATTATGGTTTTTTTCAAAAACGGCTTTCTGCGTATCTGCCCGCTGCCTGGCCAACTGCCGAGCCGAGGCGTTGTCGCAATGAAACTCAAAAGCATTATTTTATTAACAGGGAGATCGCCGCGACAGGATAACCTAACAACAGTTATTGTGCGACCTAAAATAAGTTAGTATAGTTAAAAAAATACTAAAAATACAACCCTGTTATTTATCCTGTTATGTTATTTATATAACGTAAATCTTTATTACCTATGGCTTGCTCTGTTCTTCTGTATCTTCTTGAGAAAAGCCAATAAGTTAACAGAATATCAATAACTTATTTACCTACATTCAATATTTAAGTTATGTAAGTTATTACCAATTAAGGTAAAACTCATATTCGGGTTTGCACCCGGTTTTTAATTTTTTATTTTATTTTAGCATACTCAAATTTTTTATGCTGATTCCAAAAATGATGTTTTTTTCGTGTTAGATGACCATAAACCCAAAAAAAGATCAAAAAACCATTTTTACCAAAACATGTCATCTGGGTGACACTCAAATTGACCTGAACAACAAGCAGATCACAAATATGCAAGAATATTCTTTTTTGATCTGATGTCAAATACAGTAAGCGAGATATAGATGAAAGTGTAATAACTTACTATCAGCAATAATCCCAACACACTAGGAGATTGGTGGGAATTCTGGGTTTTGGGCGGAGGAGACATCCAACATGGGTAATCATCGGGAGAAAAAGGGTAATTAGACAGGTAAAAGGATTATTTTACTACAGGTAATAATAGGTAATTAGCCGGTCCCAGAAATTGAAACTTTCTACTTAAACAAAAATTGAACACTGATTTTATTTAGGTATGAGGGGAGGGCAGGTCGGGGGTTTATGCAGATTCGTAGCTACAATAAGTGTTTAGAAGTAAGGTAGGTTAGAAGGATAAAGTGTAGGTTATAGTCTACCGGGTTGAATGGTGCTACATCACATCCATATTGTTTTTAGCTATTGGAGTCATAGTTGATTAACCCTTTGAGGTCGAATTTTTTCCACATTTTCCGGCGAATTTAGCTCGTCATTCAAGCAGTCAGGAAAATGGCGCCCAGCGACCAATACTTGCCATTCGACCAAAAAAATTAACTTTTTTGATTTTTGAATATTTTTTTTTGGTCCTTGTAGGTTGCCATTTTTGAGCAGTCGGCAAAATGGCGGGTGGCGACCTATACTCGCCATTCGACCGCAAAGGGTTAAACGACAAAGAAACGATTTTAAAAATGTTTGATTTCTAATAGCTTGACAAAGTTATTGAAAAAAATCATCCCTGGGGCTGAGGACGACTCATCATACACATTATTAACACTTACACAAACATAAAAACATTTAACAAAAAATTTGACCAAATGGTACTGTAATCGGTTGTGTGGTGTTGCTGGCGGATAAGTCATGACTTTTTGTTAAGTGTTACAATGGAACAGTACCTAGCCTAAATAAAATTAAATAACAACAGGTATGGTAATAATATTAGCCTAAATAGCAGCAACGGTTAGACAAAGCTAGAGTGTACAAAAAACTACAGGAAACTTTATAAAAGTCAGCTAGCACTTGACCGATTGATAGAAATTCTTTACTAACATATGTCGAAAACATTGTCTGCAGTCATGCGGGTAGTATTCAACTGTCCTCCTGAAGGCGCTGGAATGGATGAAAACGCGTAATGCTATTAATGATGTCTACATCAGTTAAAAGTTAGTATGTTGAATACTTCCACTTTTATAAAATTTCTGCAATACAAATCCTACTAATATTATAAATGAGAAAGTTTGGATGTATGGATGTATGTTTGTGACAAGTAAACGCGAAAATACTGGTCGGATTGAGCTGAAATTTGGCATCATGATAGTTCACATTCCCGATTAACATTTAGGCATATTCTTAGCTCAAAAAATCCTTTCGGGCTCTGCCCCAGTGGCTCTGCAGTTCCCCATGCTAACCTTATGAGTATTCATATTTAAAGGGAATTAAAGAATTTAGCCAGCTGTTTCAACTAAAAGAGTTGGTTCTATGATATGCAAAAGCATTAAAAATTTACAAGATTTACCAACAGGGTGAAACACATTATTTTTTTCAATATTTATGGAAAAAGCTAATTTGAACTAAGCAGCAACAAAAAACTGTGATACGCAATGAGAACTGTCAATGTAGGATTGTTTACAGTTGTGTTTATGTTTTTAATTTCAGGAATAATTTGTGATATTTTCCGAATTTTTAATAATCTATCTTTCTCAATAGGTGAAGTGGTTTGAACATTATGGCTATGGTAGATGTGTAATACTATAGCATACCGTAAATTTGATGAAGACAATTTTCTCAAACCGTGTCATCCCCCATTGCAAACGCAAAGATCGAGTATAACTGCAATAAGCATTTTATACTTATTTGCCAACCCCGTATGAAGGACGGGTACTCTGCTAGTTATTAATAAACTTTTAATTACTAACAATATTCTATACACTAAAAAAGACACATTCAAAAACCTCTGTGAATGCTAGCAAAACTGATGACTTACTAATAAAACAGAGTGTTTAGGAATTCCCCTCGGTTTTCGTAACAATACCATACCGTATTAGTCATCTCCTATCAGTGTAGTATGATGTTAGTCATCGTTTTGAGGCACCAACCCTGTGATTCAGCAGAAGAATGTTTGCAGAAAGATCTTTGCCTAGCTTCCACCCATCCCCCGCCTACACTGCCATGCCGGGGTGCGCCAGGCCCAAGTGCCAACTTAGCTGTAACTACCTGTAACTACATCTAAATAAACAATAAATTGGGCAAAATGAATGACAAAATCAATGTAGGCCTAGTGACAGGATAATCGGATAAATATAAAAAGAATTTGGTGAACAAATCTAAAAGCACAAATGGCTAACACGCATGACAGAGAATTATGGTGTTATCACGTGATAAAAACAAGACAGTAACAGACACTATAAAATATTTTCAAATCTTATCATTTTGGTTAGAGTTTATGTAGGCCTAAGTTTCCACCCTATTATGTTGATTAATTCCAAATTGTTTTGCAGAAAGTTTACTTTTGGTCCTACGTACAACATTTTTGCAAAAAAGATTCTATTTGGTCCAAGTTCATCCCAGATTCAAGTGTTGAATGCTTTCCTTAGTGGACCTGTCACATGTAATAGATGTCAATATTTTCACAACTCTGGACCACATTACGGGAAACGGAAAACCAGAGAGGAAAGGGTAAGAGAGGCTGTAGCTTAATTTAGCTCATATGTTTGGAATAATATTACACTAGTGTACCTGTTGCTCGAATTCAAAGAAAGAGTCGACTCAAAGATTATGGAAATACTCACGATGTATTTAACAGTTTCATATAATCAACATTTCTTGTAAATATCTTATCATTTTTCAAAAGCTGGTCTTGTTTTTTAGTGTTTTCTACAAATGTTTCCTACTCATAGACGCATTAGGTTGTCCATAATAACGATTATAAATTAAAAAAAAATATTATTTCTATTTATTCTACTTGGTGGTGTTCTATGACTTTCCTATGTTTCCATAGTATGCAAATCGGCTCTTTCAATGCTAGATTGGAGGGGGAAGACCCACCTGGCAAGTTCACTGTAGTTAGAGCTCCTGATTTTCACAGTTTTTAGTGTGTAAACATTGTTTTTTTTTAATCAAATTTGTATAAATATTGTGTGGTTTTTAACAGTAAAGTGATATTTCAATGTTTAATCTTAAAGTGTGAAAGGACTTACAAGTAAGGTATAAATACCCCCGCCGCAGAAAACCTGCAGACTAAGCGAATTTCAACTTATCTGATTACATTTTTACTAAAATATTTCCATAAAAATAAGACATATTTATTCCCTATTTAAATTACATTAGATTTAACGAGTGCTTAGGTTTGCTGCTACGGGGAAGGTAAAAAGTGTTTTTTGATCATACGTCAATAGTAGGCCTATAGGATGAAATAAATAAATTTGCAAAATTTTATCAATATATATCCATAAACAAGTAAACTACAAAACAGATTCATTTTCTCCATAAGAATAACATGAGAATTTTAAATTACACTATTTTTGAATTTTCTCTGTGACCGTCAGGCATACAACGGCGCTTCAATATAGGCCTACTAAATTATTTAATTTTTTAAGCTCTACAAAACGGTTTAAAAGGAAATTGCAATTTTTTTTGTTTTCAGGGTCAAAAATGGGAAAACCCCATTTTTACCCCATAAAACCCCCCATAAACCCCCGTTCCCATGGTCCGATTATGCTGGATTGTGAACTCGTTCTAATAAACATAGGTGTACACGTTTGTACCAAATTTCATCAAAATCGGATCATTTTTGCTAGAGTTATCGCGCTAACGGACATATATATATATATATATATATAAAAATATATAAATATATACCCCCGCCGCAGCAAACCTGCGGACTAAGCGAATTTCCATTTGCCTGATTGGATTTACACTAAAATGTCTCCTTAAAAATATCACATTTATTCCCTATTTAAATAACATTAGTTTAACGAGTACTTAGGTTTTCTACAACAGCGAGGGTAAAAAGGTGTTTTTTTGTAAAATGTTAGTAGTTTAGTATGAAATTAATGCATTTTCCAAATTTGATCAAAATATGATCATAAACAAGCAAACTACAACAGTTTACTTATTCTCCATAAGAATAACATGGGAATTTTAAATTTACAGTTTTTTGGAATTTTCTCCGTAACCATTAGGCACATAATAACGCTTCAATATACTAAATTATTTGTTTTTTTAAGCTCTACAAAATGGTTTGGAAAGAAAATGCTAAATTTTAACCCCCATAAACCCCTGTTCCCATAGTCCGATCATGCTGGTTCGCGAACTCGTTCGAATTAACATAGGTTTACACGTTTGTACCGATGATTTTTGCTTGAGTTATCATTGGACACATATATAAATATAGGCCCTATATATATATGAATTTAAACGGATTGTGTTTTTGGTCTCAAGGGACCTGAAAACGAAAAAGTAAATCGGTCCCGGGTCCAGGTCTTACCATGAGTACTACGGTAATAGCTTATTCCCTATATGGGAAATTCGCTAAAAACTGTTAAAATCTACCTGCATATTTTAGTTAGGTCTCTTATCGCTATAGATAACTTGGGTCAGTTGGATTTTGGCCTACCTTTTCTATGAACACAGTCAGCAGTTTTGTGCCCAATATTTAAAATCTGAACCATCTATGAATGACTGCTGTTATCCGGAATTGTAAAGTAGCCTGGATAAAACTTGTCACATAGCCACTTCACTTGAGATACTGGTCTCCAGATAACTTATTCTTAGTTTACACTATCTTTTTAAATTTTTAACAATTTTCCAGAAGAAGATTTATATTTTGTTTTACTACCAGAACTTTTATTACATTTATCTAGATAATTTATTTTGACCATAACTGAAATATTTATACCTATATTTTGATGAATATGGTTTTGTACCTAAAGTATGGACAAAACTAAAAATAAATTCAAGACAACAGACTGCAGACTGTCAGATGAAAGACAGGTGAAAGGGTCTTTGCCAAAGTCAAAGGCTATCCCTATTGACCAGCTACGATTTCTGATGTAAGATTCATAAAAAAATCTTAGGAAATATAATGTTAAATTTTATGGTACAAATGAAATTGGTGCAGTCAAGGAAATTGATATATGTTCATTTAAGGAAAACAAGTCCCGCTATGGAATTATCAAAAAGAAAAATTCTAAATTTAATGTAGCACTGAAAGAAGCAGAAAGGAGTTTTGAAACAAGTTTCATTGAAAAAAATACTAGTGGCTTGTTGGTTACACATATTTCTACAGATGTTATTGATAGTAACTCTGAGGTACCGCATATGACTAGTACTCCTGTAAATAATGTTAAGTCGCTGAAAATGTCAAACTCAGAAGGAAGTTTCAACTTGCTTCAGAGCAATGTAAACAATGAAGTTGGGGAAGTTATGGAAAGTGATAAGCAACAGCTCACACCACCTGATAGAACAAAAACTACCCTAGAGATATTGGGTAATCAGTGGCTAACAGACGAGTCTATTCATTTTTATTACCAGTTACTGTCTGAAACAGTGATCAATAAATCACAGATATATTTGATGAATCCAATTATTGCACAGACTGTTAAATGGCTCAATGATGTTGATCATATACTAAAAACAGCAGACTTAAATAGTAAAACACATGTTTTTATCCCAGTAAACGACTCACCAGCAGTTGATAGACCAGGGGGCTCTGGCTCACATTGGAGCCTACTCCTGTACATCATAAGAAGTAAAGAGTTTTACTATTTTGATTCCTTTGGTCAGACTAATTATGAACATGCAGTGAAGATATGTTCAGCACTGTAAAAACACCTTCACGATGACACAGAGTGTAAAATCAAATCTGTTAAAGTCCCACAGCAAATCAATAATCATGACTGTGGTATCTACTTGCTTATTTTCACTGAGACTATCATTCAGTCTATTCAAAAAGAAGATAGGTCAACTGATCCCTTTCAGGATATATTCCCTCCCATATTATTAAGTGATTTAATTCTAAAAAGGGTTCAATTAGCAATGCTGTATTTCAACCCAATGCTTAGTCTTAGTGTAAGCCTTGTGAGTGGGATGATGGTAAAGGTACAAAATTCAGAAGATGAAATATCACAGCTCAGAGTTAATGCTCAAGATCCTGAACCTTAATGGACAATAAAGGAGTCAAGAAGGAAAACTCAACATTCATCTCAAATTATTAAAGTAAACAGTAATAGAATTCCTACTTCTAATCAGTTTCAAGTTTTGGATGAACTGGATACACCCAACTCCATTGAACAATCTAGGCTACATTAGACAGCAAGAGAATGTCAAAAAACAAAACAAAATTCCATGTAAAAAAAGGAAAAAAAAATCTCAACAAACAAATTAAGTTGTCACTGTACTCAGATAGTCAGGGGAGAAATTTGCACCAACCCAAATTCAAATAGTAAATATTTCATTCCAACCAACTCAGTAAATGTTTGTAGCACACGTTTCCTTAAATTGCTACTAAAATATAAACAGCAATTAAATTATCCAGCTGGTCATAATGTAAACAAATATGTTCTTCATAAGGATAATATGGGAACTTTAAAAGCCACTGGGGCCTCTCAAGGGTTCTTTTTCAAAAATGTAAAGTCAGTTTACAAATCTACACAATTAGACAAACATTTTGGTATATAATAATGTGGGGTTAAATCTTAAAACAAAAAAGCCTTATTGTTTACAAAGTTTCATGTAGCGTATTAATAAGTACCAGGGGACCAAACCATGGCTCGGTATAGGTAATATCGATTGTAAAAGCAATATAAAGGAAACTCAAGTTTTTTACAACTAATTTTGGCTTATTTAACCCTCCGAGTGTTATTTGTCGATGCATCGACACATAACACACTTTGTGTAGTGTTTTGTGTCGATGCATCGACTCACAAACACTGTTTACTGCGAAGGCTCTATGACTGACAAAATCGGATTGAACTGGATCGAGTTACTTATCGTTTTAGCGAATTTCCCTATAGGGAAGTAGCTATTACCGTAGGTGGCACGGTAAGACCTAGACCCGGGACCGATTTACTTTTTCATTTTGATGTCCCCAGAGGCCAAAAACACCATTCGTTAAAATTTTTATATATGTATATATATATAGACTTATATATATATATATATACGTCCGTGAACGCGATAACTTGAGTAATTTTTGTCCGATTTTGATGAAATTTGGTTTAAAGGTGTAAAGCGGGATAAACTTGAATGAGTTCGCGAACCAGCACGATCGGACCATGGGAACGGGGCTTTACGGGGGGTTTTATGGGGTAAAAATTGGTTTTTCTCACTTTTGACCCTCAAAACACAAAATTTCCCAATTTCTCTTTAGACCTTTTTAAAGAGCTTAAAAAAACAAATAATTTAGTATATAAAAGTATTTTTGTTCGACTATAAGTAACGGAGAAAATTAAAAAAATTGTAAATTTAAAATTCCCATGTTATTCTTATGGAGAATATTGTCAAATGTTGTAGTTTGCTTGTTTATGGATATATTTTGATCAAACTTGGCAAATTTATTTATTTTGTACTAAGCTATCAATATTTTACTCAAAAACACACTTTATTTGTTTCCTTGTAGCAGCAAACCTAGGTACTCGTTAAACCTAATGTTATTAAAATATATTTAACTGAAAATC